AGCTATTCAAAGTGACCCAGCTGCTGAGAGCCATTGCCCGTCAGCGTCCCCCTGAGAAATTCCCTCTCTGCAGGGCAGAGGCTGAGGAAAGCTGAGGGCCTCAAAGGGACACCGAGTACTTGTTTAGGGCAAACGAGCAGGTACCAAACCTTCTGTGGGGAGAGAGGATGAAATGGAAACTCCAGGAAGCCAGGTCTTATGTGCTCTGAACAAGATCCCTTGTCCTTTAAACAAACATCTCACCTCAGTGACATTTTTCAGGCTGATTCAGGTTCTTGCAGCCCTGGATCAGCTTCTCACTGATAAAATCCTTTTGCTGGTGATTGACAGGCAAAGTGTCCCATGTAAGCAGTCATCCTTCCATTTGTAATGTATACTATACTGCATGGTATACTACAACGACAGCATGCTCTCCCCAAACTAAACTATTACCCCAGGTTGCCTTGCTAAAAATAACTGAGAAACCTTTTACCAATTATAGAATTCTATCTGTCACTGTCAATTAAAACAGAAGACCTACAGCCTCTTGCTGTCTCAGTTTTGGCTACTGCCACTCTTCTATCCTGCCTGGAGTGAACTTCTTTTCTAGGACAGCGTGGGGAGTTTATAGATTCCCCATGGAGAAAAGAAATAAATGCATGTGTTTCATATACATGGGTAATAAGTCTTCTTACAAGTGTAACCTGTAGCCTTACAAAAGTCTCCTTGCCAATTAGGAAGGGGGTTAGGGTTTCTTCTGATATATGTATTAAATACCATTCATTTTCTCATTATCCTCACGTATTACAGCAAATGGCAGGGGAGTACGTTTTACGCCAAGGGGGCCAACTGTAATGACATTTTTTAGGCTGGTATGCATGTAGACTATACCACAGGAAAGTAGCCAGTTTCCTATAAATTCAACTCTAACAGCTATGCCTGTATGCAATCTCATAGGAGTCCAATATGTAAAACAGATGCTACTTATATAGCACTCGCATATGTTGCATATATTTTTTGTTCCACGTGGCAATGAAGTTAAAAGAGGAAATGGTAGTGTTTAAGGACCTGATCCACCTCTCTTTGAATTCAATAAGAATACTCCTGCTCCTTTTACTGAATGTTAGATCTAGGTCTAGAAGGGAATGATGAGAAAACATCCTAGAAGCGTTATAATTAAAAAGTGGTCTGGTCCAGTAACCCACCTAGATCCCTTGTCTACCTTATAGCTCCTTGTTTAGAATCACCTTCTTTTGAAAGTTTTGCATTAAAGTAACATCCATTACCAATACCTGTGAATACTCATACAGCTCAACACCCACTTCAATGCAGTACTTAGAATAGGCTGAGAATCTGGATCCAAAGCACAGTGGCCTGAAAAAGGCAACCTAAAGGCCTATGGAACAAAACACAGGGCCTTTGGCAGCAACAGCAGAAGCTACCCAGTTCCTCATCTTTTATCATGAAGAAATGAAGGAATCAGAAGTGGGAGGAATTAGAGGGGGAAGGGGGTATCTCTTGCCTTGACTTGTTTCTTTTTTGTCTTGTCAACACACTCCAAGTCAAACACCTACCATGTGCAATTCAGACAGCTCAGACCTGGCTAACACTCAAAGTCTGGAGCACAGGTGCTTCCTCTGGGGGTGAGCTAGCTATGGACCCTGCTGCCAGCTCTGTGTTCTGGCTGTCTGGGGGTGGACAAGGAGAGAAGTTACTTTGGCTGCTGTTCATTTTTTGAAATGGCGAATGATCCACCTATAGATATTTCACAGGAGAGTAAAGGTACTTCCCATGCTACGAATAAACAGAAGCCTGGATTGTTCTGACCATTTAGTCTCTCCTCAGAGCAGAGATTCTGCTCCATGAAAAGCTCCAAGATGCTCAAATAAAATCATAAAATCCAGAATTAAGCATGTGTGAGGCTGTGACTTCATCAAAACTACCTAGAGAGATCAAAATGGAAACTGGATGTCCAAACTGCTTAGGCAACTTTGATGACAAATCCCAGACTAAGTCTTATATGAATCCTTCCCATGCCTCTCCTGCTCTCAGCATGCAAGTGCACAACTCTTTGAAAAGGCAGGATTCCCATATACCTTTTGCTTTTGCAGTTACACACAGAGACAAGAACACCTCCATAACAACTACTCCCAATCAAGTTCCTCTGACCTGCTTGTTCAGTTGCTCTTCTGAACCCACAGTGGCATTCTGGATCACTTTACTGAGGTTAAGTGTATAGCACTGAATGTTTAAACAACACTTTTCAAATTTCCAGCAAGACCACTCCTCTACCCTGAACAGCCTGCCATTTCAGAAGGAGGAGGAAAGCAGAGACATGACAAGCTGGAACACGCTTGTAAAGCCAGACCCCTACCAAGTAGTCAACATAAAAAAGATTGCCTACTACTGATGGTGGTTAAGAGATCATTCCTTTTGCTCAAGTGACAAAAGTCTTCTTTGGCACAGAATATCCAAGATCCCACCACATCTAGTAGAACTCACTATAAGGCAACAGTTTTAAATAGACTAAGGAAGGCATCAGAAGAACGGTAAAGAAAGAGATCCACACAATGAAGATTTCTGTAAGAGGCAGGTTCAAGCAGGGTAAATTCACATGACCTGGTAAGTAGAAGGGGAAAGGGTTTCAAGAGCCAAAAGCAATACAGATGATGGTGCAAAGCTGAGAGTAGGAGTAAGAGAAGAATTGTACAATAGGAACACAGCTAAGAAAATGGGGGGAAAACTAAAGTAGAAGGACAGGTTATGGGGAAACTATGCATGTCTTGGTAGGAAGAGGACAAGGACCTTGCGATATCACAAAAGAAATTAAGGACTTTACAGGGGGAGGGTTGGCTTCCTCTTTCTCTCCAGTTACCCTTCTTTCCAGCCTTCATTTCTGTACTGAAACCCCAAACAAGGGCTAGGGTTTCCTATCTGACCTCTACCCAGGGTGGTTGGAAACTGGAGGGGGGAGTTATTACATAATCTTGACTTTTCATCAGAAAAACCTTATGTCCTGGCTTTCTGGGGAAAAAATGGTTTTCAGTTTTCTAGATGATACCCTTTGGGACTGGAAGTGCCCTATGAAAACTTGTGTCAAGTCAAAACAGCCACCTTCCACTAGGGGAAAAAATTTCAGTGAAAAATTGTCAGCCAGTCTGTGCCTCCAGAACTCTAGCACCACCACCACGTGACAGAAACAATTCAGAGAAGAAACACCAAGAAGTTACCAAGCTGTTCCCAGAAAATCTTAGCCATAGGAAAGGAGAATAGTGGAAAAAACAAACAAACGAGTCACCATCCCAAGAATTCTTACCTGTCTTCAGTTAACCTCATAAGAGTGGAGCCTCTTGTTGAGAAAACAATAAAGGACATCCTCAGCTGGGGGCTGGGAAAGGAGAACAAAGTGGAAAGCGAATGACTTTGGGGTAAAGACTCTCTCATCATATGTATGTATAGTGCCTAGCACACCATTCACCCAACCGAAGCAGGGACCCTGCAGCTGCTACTATGTCTATCGCTTCATACAAGGATGACGGTATAGGCAGCGAGGCTTAGAATCAATATGCAGTATCATCTCCTTTTATAATGCTGTGGGAAGTGAATGCTAATTGTGTTGGCATGATTCCCATGATGCCATTAGGCCACAGACACAAGGAGGAAGGAATTCAGGTGATCACAATATCATGTGGCAGTGCGGGGAGACTAATTTGCGTTCCAACACTTATTCATTTGACATCTGATCCAAAGGACTTCCCTACAGGTCTTTTCACTCACAAGAAAGATACCGGGCTGAACTAGTCACAGGAGAAGCAAACTGCTCCCCAAGGTGGAGTTACATCATAACCTGCCCATCCGCTTTAATATGACATAGTAATCACATGTTTCTACATGCGATTGCCAGCTACGTCGATGTAGCAGTGCTCCCTAGGTATAGTGCACTGCCATGGTGTGCTCCCTGAGTATAGTGCACCGCTACAGCACTGTAGCAACAAAATCTACCCATGCACCCCATGCACGGTGCAGTAACCATCCATACTGTGCAATGCTTTAGTACTTCCAAAAGGAAGTACTAAAGCACAGCACCATAGCAGCGTCACCATATGGTGACATGCAGACACACCCAGGAAGCAACAGACTTAGAAGTATTCATTATAGGTATTTCTACAGGTAGAAATGAGATATAAAAAAAAGACTAATTATTCATCTAGTCTGTCTCCTGGAGACTAGAATAGTTGGGCCAAAACCTGCTCATCTTTAGCCAGTAATCTCACTGCAAAGACTTCAATTAATTTCAGGAAAACACGAGCATAAATCATCACCAGAAAGAGATGTATAGTGAATTCTTCAGTTGTTGTGCATCAGTACACAACTGTACACCAGTTGACAATATGGTCTCTAGTAGGGCTGTGCGAGGCTTCAGGTGCCAATTCAATTTGGAGGAGATTCAGCCTGATTTGGTGGCCAAATCTCTGAATCCAAATCGAATCAGGAGACCCGTTAAAAGGTTCAAATCGATCTGAAGCTCTCCAAATGTTCAGAAAAGATTCAGAGAGCTTCGATGATTCAGAAAGTCCCGGGTGGCTGCAGCTCCCAGCTGCAGCCAGACTCAGAGCTGATAAGTGGAGGCAGGGGAGGTGGGCCTGGAGAAGTGGGGAGAGGACCTTGAGGTTGCGCTATCATTAGTGGTGTGGAAACGTGTTGGTGG